TTCATTGGCTCATGAAAAATATAACAGACATCCTTTTGTCAGGATGAAATTTCATCTGCAAACGTCGAATCCAAAGGCAGTCGTCTCCTTCATATTTTACTCACTTGAATGCAACCATCAGCGATAAGAATGAGCGATAGGACGAGATTGACAGGACTATTTTTATTGCCATTTATCTTTAAAAAGATCTTTCAACGTATCAAACTTTCAGGAGTTCAATAGCACCGATGCAAACTGGAAAAAACACTTCAGTTCTTGGACGGAATGTGCCCTCCGCTATCAATGTGGAGCAAATTGCATTGTCTTGGAACGCAGACGAGCCATAACATCAAAGATTTTATCTGGAAATTTTTGTAGTAAAAGCGAAACGACAATATTTATCGTTGAGAATCGATGAAAATTCTCATGCACCACTCAAATGAATGTACGACATTCAAGCACCGTTCAGCCCATCGAATCCAACAATCTTTATGAGTTTATTCCGTTTTGTTATGAGACTTTTTTGCCGTGTTGAAATAATCTCTCTCTTTTCACTCGTGCCTGTATGATCAGTCTGCCCATGTGAACGGTCCTTATTAATTGACCTTGCATAGTTCGCAGCTCTGAATGAGAAAGATCTTATCAAATATTATGATAAACGATCATCAAATGTAAAGCTGTGACTATCGAAGTAAAAAATCCTGACGTGTCCGAATATTCTCATCAGTCCACCATCGTCCAAACCAACTCAACATCATAGCTCAGAATCAATATGTTAGGAATGAAAAATCATGTTGACGATAATGTTAGCTTATCATGCAAGTAAAATAGTGTCTAAATTAAGACAAACTGGCCGTGGTTCAAAACTGGTCAAATTCATTTCACTGCAGCCTGCAACTTATTCAAGTCGAATAAACTGAATTACCCAGGTCAGTTCAAAGTCAAATTGAGTTATCTCTAGACAGAAACTAAGCCAGATCTCATTCTGTGCTTACCTCCCTTTGCCTCCCTCAGTTTAATCCATGCAAGGAATCCAATGAGCCATGTTGAACAACTAATGCGTATGTCTATGATCATGTGCCCGCGAAGACACAATGTTATGAAAATTTTGCGATGTTTCTCAAAAGCAGCTCATTCTTAGGTTCGATATCGCAGCCAGTTTTGTGCTTAAAGAGATCATATTCGAGTGGTCAATAATATGACAAAAAAAAAAACAATTATGACAATCCATCGCAAGGCGCAGTGAAGCGCCAGGTCTGTTTCAAGATTTCAAACATTTTCTGTTTACCATTTCGAAATTTCCATTGAGAATCGTCTAGGGTCTCAATAAATGAGCAGTGGTTGAATAGCCACATATTTTGATGCTTATCATTAGTTTTATTCTGTAAAGCTTTGGATGATGGAATGAGATTGAGCCATGATTAGTGACCACATTTTTGCATGCTTTATTTCATTGTTCATTCACTGTTTGATTTCTTTGTCAATATTATTGCGCTCGTAAATCTTTATCTTCTCTAAACATTGTTATGTAGGCTTGACGTGATTTGGACTTGACGTTCAGTTGACTTGACTGGTACGCAGCCAGATTTTGGGCATCAGTTAGCGCCCGTATAGCCTAAAGTGATAGGACTTTGGCTTCAACCATGATCAGCAATAATTTACTTAAACTTCGTGCAGTTGACTGTGGAGTTACGAGACATTCTGTCTAGTGCTCGTAAAGGCGCGGCTTTGTGTCGCTCAAAGAAAGTTTCTCAAAATTACTGCATTCTGCATATCAGTCAAGTCTGTGCCTGATTATACGTGCAGCATGCATCTTGAGAAAGAGTTTACTTTCCATGCGTATGCTTAACCACAGTTATTAACTGTGAGATAAAGCTTAAATTCTAGGCAGATGAGGATCTAGGAAATTGTGATACAGTTTACGTGTAATTGTCAAACTTGCCTCGTGGCTTCATGCATAACATTCTTCCGAGCTTTCATTTGGCTGAGTTGTATCTTCAAAGAGAGTTACTTTTGGGGTATGAATCCTGAGGCAACTAGTTGGAAATTTCGTAAAGTTGCGTACTTAGGAGCATTCAGATATTACCCTTGTTAAGTCAGAACCTGATAATTCATCATTTACAGGTTATTTTAGTCGAGCCATAACATTATGGTGATATTTGATGTGTAATCCAGGCTTCATTTATGTTTATTTTGATCGGACTCCCAGTTGACATGGACTGATGCATTGCCTACATTGAGCTCTGCACATGACTTCGAGCTGACTTTACTATAAACTAGCACTTCATATTTTTTGCATGACTGGCTAGAAATGATCCTTGAGGTGACCCCAGTCAATCTAAGTTGACTTTATTCTTCGTTCATTAGTTTCACTCAACAATGGGCTTTATTAGTCAATATCAACTATAAATACATCAGCTATGACTTCGATTAATAGTTATTCATCGTTACCGTTTTGATACATCGAATCTAGTTTGCCTGCACGTACGGTATATATTGCTTCTCCGAAAAGTGATCTCCTCTCGTATGAGCGGTCATATTCATTTTTTCATCACCGAGAAGTTGTTTTTTATTTCTTGAAATTCGGAGTTAGAGATTCCGAACTGATTTAAAACTAGCTTGTTACCAACTGATAATCGCTTGGCTGTAACTATGTTCAGGGTTGATGGTCTCTGTACGATTTCTTCAGCTCTAACTTCTCACACAATTAAGCCCATATGAAAACAGTCATCGAAAACTCGCTGCACGACCCAGAATACTGCGCGCAGATTGTATCCTGATGGACATTCTGCTCGTGCGGAAAGACTTACGACAGAGTTCCATGTGGCTGTAACTTTTTCCCTGAACTGTTCCGCAGTTGATCTAAACATAAACTCGAAAATTATCACTGGGTTGAGTGCCATGAGAAAGAAGAAAAATTCTGTAACATCTTCATGGATAAGATAAATCAAATTTCTCAAAAAACGATAGTGGGGCCATTCCTCTCTCTGTCGGTCTCCTGATGGCGACCAGTTTGCACAGAATGTAATGAAGTTATGATTTGACATTGTTCATCATTTCTTCTGCAATTTTCCTTATAGTTAGACAACTGGTCAGTATGCGTATGGTTACGCTTGAACACTTGTATAAAACCAATATGAGTACAATAATTGTTAGCATAATGCATGTAAATATTCACGTATTTANACGAACCCACAACAAAACATCGCATTCAATAGAGCATCACATCGTTAACATTGTACATAAAATACGGAGAACATAAAATTCAACGACTGCAACTTTATTGACCAACAAAGTCGGACATACCGATTTGAGAGCGATGGTGGAATAGCAGAGCATTTTGTTGCAATAGATGAATAACCCTATATTTAAGGAACATTTCAATGCATCATCTATTTGTGTAATTTCTCTGAATCTTGTGGATGATAATACTCCTCTGATATAAGATTTTCCGGATGGAGACTATATATTTCTGTATGTTGTCTGTCTGCCGGATATCTGCTCGCGGTCTCCACCGACATCTCACTAAATACATTAGCATCTCCCATCCTTTTGTTATTTTATCGCTGACCTAGAGTGAACTTTCTTGGGAATGCCTAGCGATCCTCTGGCATCGCACTTATTTGTGTTGTTGACGCAAACATGTGAGAACTCAGAGAACAATACTGTACACTGGGCCATCACTTTGAGAAGCTCCGACTTGAAATTCAAGTGATACAAACGAATGAACGAATAAATAATGTTATTTGTCCGGGCACTTTTTCGAAGCAGCGTTATCGATTCTGGTTTTACTACGACATAATGACCAAAACGAAAACGGAAAACAACCAGATGACGGCTCCGATCGTACGGCTGAAAATGTTTTCATTTGTTTCACGGCATCTTGAAACGTTATGATGCTATCTCACTTCAGTTCGTTGAAGAAACTTCCAAATAATGTTGACTATTCAGCTGCAATTTTTGAGAAACTTCGGCAGACAAACACTCCTTTGACGAGTGAATTTCACCGCAGCTAAGATCAATGCATNTACACTTACTATTCAATGCTAGATGTGATCCTAGTGGAGAGTTTGCGCGGCAAGCTTGCCTAGGCAATGCGATTGTTCTTTCCTTAAGTAATGATGGCGAGTTTCCATTTTTGGTGTTTGAACGATTTGCGAGATCCACATAATATCCTGTCTGAAAGATGCGATGTAAATGACCGATGAGATATACGAAACAATCTGTTTTAAAAATACGAATCCCTTAAGTGTCTCCAGTGGTAAGGCACCACTCGTCGGCATGCTATTATTATCATGAAATCCTTTGGAGTGAAAGTGTTCGCATTTGAGCTAGTAACGAGCTAGTTTGAAACGTCGATTACGGCTGCACTAGCCCGCACTCACCTCGATACGATCACAAATACCCTGCACTAAATAACGCCACAAAGTGATCACTGTGTCCAGATCGGTATCGTTCCACTTATCACGCGATAGCGCTAATCTTATATGGAATATTGTACACTCCAAAAATACCGACCTGAAATGCAAACCTCTCGATACCATTAACCTCTAAAAAATCAGTCGATTGTGTGTTGTTCACAACAATGATCAACATTCGATCTTCAGTTATAATTATGTATTTTCAATCTGTCTGCAACTGCATTGAATACTTTCAAACGTTGTTGGCAACTGTATGATTGAATTGGGTGAAATACGCGATAAGA